AGCTCATGAACAAACCTGTGAATAATCTTTTTTTCCTTAACGTTCTCAGTGGAACATAGGGCTTCAAACTAGTGGCTTGAAGTTTCTGTTGCAGCGTTTATTTATAAAGGATGGGGTTGCTAGCCCCAGGCCGAACCTTTCCTCTTTACCAGCATTATTTCTGGCTTAGCGAAGTAAAGGAGTGCGTCGGTGGCCGGGGATTGAACCCTGGACCATGTGCATGGTCGGTGAGCGTCCTCACCACCGTGCCACCGACGCTGTGAATAATCTAAGTGTTGATAATTTTGCCTACAGGACTATTTTCTTTTACCGGCCTCAACAAACAGATACAGGAATCACATCCCGTTTAAGTAGTGACTCACTACAAAGAAACACACATAACATTTAGTGTACGATTATGTACGATATTAGCTACAGATGGAAGTTTGAAAAATTTGATATTTCTTGTTTCATTCAAAGGGATTTCATATAAGGCAAATTTATAGTGCCATTCCATGAGATCTCGTTCGCCTACACTGAAAATACTGATTTAGATTTCGTCACACTTGGACAGCAGTTAGAGAATCATTGAAAATCATAGCGTACTGGATAGCTGTTTCATTAGCAAATTGTCAGATTCATGAGCTACTACTCAATGACTGACAGAATATATGCTCATCTAGTAATCTGTATGTTTTGGTTTCGACGCCTTCTCAGTTCGTGAGTTTGTACCAGTGGAGAGTTTCGAAATAGTCAAGCAGGTATCTAGTGCTTCCTGAGTTCTAGTGTTTTTCTGATTGAACGCCATTTTTTTACGAAATATACTTTGAAGCCAACTGAATCTTCGTAAAGGGAACATTCGTGAACTTTAGATATGAGATTACTAATTCCTCATCTATGTAGGTTTATTCACTTGAGGTACTGAAGCCGATACATTAGTTTTGAGTTTGTTTTTATTTCGACTATTTAACATACGACATTTCCTCACACATGCATGAAATAACAAAAACTAACGATTTTTAATGGAGTAATAACTTTGTTTTAACTCATTTAAAGCTTATATTTAGAATGTTAATCATAGAACACGGACTAGATAATGGTTTGGCGAATTGCTTTGATATCTCATGAGAAAATTATCCCAACTGTTAGAGGTGAAGTTATGAATGAATACTAACCGTCCTCTACTGACATCTTTTAGTTTCTATTTGATTTTTTCAGCCAGTTAATTAGTCGAAACACTCACTAAGACGAGTAAAAAGGTGTATTCACGCTAAAACACGGGAAGTGTAGATAATAAAATAAAGAATAACACTGAGCGATTGAGATCAAAATACAAAGAGGTATATATGAGTAAACTGAGAATAGATTACAGTTCAAAATGTATGTATATATGATAAATGATCATGGATAAGAATGAAGTTATATTTGAATATAGATTTAGTCATAAAGTAAAATCAGTAAGAGAAAGATTGAAAAGCAGGGAGAACTCAACGAATCTTTAGTCCTAGACTGAGACTCTTCACTGTGCCCACCTACAACCAATCCAGAGGTTGGACGGAAGACTTTCAGTTCACCAGACCATCCAAGCACTTTAATCGGATTTCAATGACCTGCTAATTCTAACTTCTGACAATTTGTGACACAAAGCTATCTTAAACAAGTGTCATCGATAAGCACCTACTTCACCCTGACATTCAAATCCCTACAAATACTCATAATGTAGACATCAGTCTCCAACTCCTGGATGATGGCTACCAGAGAAGTCATCACCAGTGAGATCGACAGCGTCAGAGTGAACTGAATACCTGTCGAAAGCACTGGTTTGGGACAGTCTTATGTGAAGAGTGCAGGTGCAGCCAGAAGACGAGTCCCAAATAGGACGAAATGCACATCTTAGTCGATTCTAGTGCTAATCATCATCCACCGACTGACTTTAGTTGAATGGATATTAGAAGGTTCTGTGTGTGCGTTGGTGCCACAGCGGTAGAATGCTCGCCAACTACGCCGCACGTGGTCTGCGGTTCGATCCCTAACCACAGATGCACTCCTTTACCTCGCTAAGCTAGTAATAAGGCTGGTAAAGATGGAAGGTTGCTTATGAGCCTAGCAACACTATCCCGTAAAATAAACACCATTGCTACTGAAGCTTCAAGCCTCTAGCTTGAAGCCCTATATTCCACTGGGAACGTAATGGAATTTTTAAAAAATGCTTATGCAAGCTTGTATCAGGGAATACCTAAGAATCAATCAAGAAAATAGATGGTTTCTTTGTAGAAGTATAATACTAATAAATAAATAAATAAATAAAAGAAAGAGGAAATTTAGACATAAAGTACGTAAGGTCATATGACTAACAAACTTAGTTTGTGTTGAATGAAATATTACAGTGTAAGTGCAATTCTTTTTATAGAATTAATTATTTACATGGTGGTGCTAAACGTGCAAAGGAAATTTCCCTCTGATTTCTTTCGAATCGTAATACATCATCTTTAAGACAAGGTAAATGGCATAAAGAGAGTGTACTTATTATTAGTGTTGCAGTCGAAAGAAACGTACTTTCCATGCTTAGTTTTTTATCAGGAATGGGAAATTTCTGTTGCCCTTCATTCTATGTGCACGTATATTTCTGTAAGTTAATACTATTTTATGTATGTGTAGCTTTTTCCAAATTCCTAACTGATAGGAAATACATTTATAAGTTAGTAAGGTATTCATTAAAGTTCTGGCCTAACTTTTGACTAAGAGAATGACAGGAACGAATGAGGCTGATCTTTTGAATGAATGTATATGTTTTCAAAAAAATTGGTTACTGAACAAAGAATACTTTTTTCGATAACTTCATCATTAGGTTCTACCGTTATATATACTTTACACTTTCAGTTGTGTCTATCAATTGAACTGCGCCTGTGGAGCGAGTTATATCGGCCGTCGTTGCTCTAGGAACTTGAATTTTCGTGCCCACTCTGGAACATTTCCCACTATGGCTTAGTAAAGGTGTAGTCAAAACCATCAACAGTTCGATATTATACCATCTGGTTCAAACCGACCGGTCAAAAAGCCAGCCAGCATTGAATAATCCTTCTATATCATCTACCGGATACCAAATGTATTGCCAGAAACATTGAAGTACCACATGCTCCAAACAGCAGAGGCTATCGTAATTCGCGTGAAACAACCAGTGCTTTGTTGTGCAAAAGAAGCAAGTCCAGACACTACTACTGCCCTGGCTGGCCTTCAGTAGAGGCTATAAATTCATGAATTTGTATTATTATCTTTCCTAATTTTTCTAACATTCAGCTTATTTTATGTTGATCCTACTAAACTGTAATCTATCAATATTATTGATTCGATGTTATTCAAAGAATAATGTTTTTAATAACACTAATTCATTCATTCACTATAGTGTATATAAAACTGTAGAACCTGATAATGAAGTCATTGAAAAGAGTATTCTTTGTTCAGTAACTATTCTTTTAGAAATTTGAATGGGAATTTTTAATCAGTTAAAATGTCTATGTTTTCTAAAATAGAGTCGGGATATTTTGTGATATATGATTAGCGATTTTATAGCTTTATTCTTTATGGTTGTGTAGTGGTTTATAACGAGAAGTGGCGGCCTGCTTAAAAATTGAGCTACCTTAAACTTTCATAACTTTATCGCCTATATTTTCTCCGTTAGGTTTGTTTTAGCTGATTAAGATATGACCTCTATCGGTATTATCTACTCTCGTGGGTATTTAAATTGTGTACAAGCTCCTGATTCGCAAGTTTCTGCTAAACTTGAAGAAAGGCCTGATTGTGCTTGGCAACGTGTTCTTCAGTTAAGTCCTTGGTCCCAAAATGTACTTCTGAATATCTTATGAGTGGCCTCCAACTACATATCGTGGACTTCTTGAAGGAGACAAATCAGATATATCATAATGGAATGGTTTGTGCTTCAGCTCAGATATACTGTCAATTAATATTTTACTTGAAGATATTGTACGCAGGGAAAATATCATGAAAAAAACTCCTCTGTACATTTTACAAATACTCTCCAGAATAAAGATATTATTATTAAGCACTGAACAGTAATGGATACATTTAATTGAATTTGAGATTTTCCCGTCGATTGATTGGACCAAAGTGCTCGGTCTCAGGTTGACACGTCAGCTTCTTGTGCAGATTCTTCGACAACGTCTGGACATTTAATTAGTATTTAATCTCAAAATTCAATTAAACTAATATGACCCGTTGCACAAGAGGTGGCTCACGTGGTCCTAATGGTCCAGTGGATAACGCTTTGGCGTTTGAAGCTGTGGGCACTGGGTTCGAGCCTCGGTGGGAACATTATCACTCACTTAGAAATGCAGGTACATTCAGATGACGAGTCCCAAATAGGACGAAATGCGCATCCTGGTAGATTCCACTGCTAGTCACCATCCACCAATTAAATAGTAATGGATACAATTTTTATAAAACTGATAATTTTACAATGCTTTGTTTTAGAGACGAATATCCACCATAAAGGTGAGCAGTAACGGGTCCTCTTTATCATATATATATATATATATATATATAATGTTGAACCAATAACCAACATCAGTTAGAGAACTTGGTCAACTTTTTCGTCCTACTTTCAGAGTCCTTAGAAGCACGCATTTATTACTGCACTGAGAATGAAACCGATGACCATCAGAAAAGGAGCCGAGCCTATTTGAAACAACGGCTTCTAAAATATCCTATTAGTATATTGCATATAAGTTTTCTTGTTCATTTTGTCTTTATCTATTAAAATATAACTTCTGGTGGAGTTCTCTATTCTCGCGAGTATTTAAAATGTTTTAGATAATGACTAATCAATAAGCTCGTGTAGAGCGGAGAGGAACTAGTGGAAAGGAAATAAAGCGTTTTTATATAAAATCTGTATGAAAAGCAATGTTATCAATAAACAGTAATAGAGTGGTAATAAAATATGTATGATGAGAATAATAATGATAATAAAATAACAGTAGTGATAACAAAAATAATAATGAACTTACATAATAAAAATAAAAATAGAAGAAGTAAAGTCACAGTAAGAACTTCACTCTGGCCACGGTAGGGGAGAGAACGTATGTATCACTTTTGAATGCAGAGGTCTAGTTTCAGATCTCGAATAGCTAATGCTTCAGCTATGTGCAGATGGCGTATGCGAAGTGCGCAACGTGAAGTCTACAAACCTATTCTGGAACACTGTGCAGCTTGGTTAGCCAGAGGAGAAAAGAACAATAACAGCAGCACGAACAACTTATCATCTCCGGACGTTGAGCACCCCCGCATGAATCCTTCACGGTGATACACAGAGTCCCTCGGTATCGTAGAAAGGGATGGGTTTTCGCTTCCGGTCAGACAGCAGTGTGATAAGTGACTTGCTCTCAGTCGAAATTCTACGTGAAGATAATGAACAAAGAGAAATTACTGTGGAATAATTTCCGCGGAAAATTCTGTGCATTATATAAATAATGTTCAAAATTATCATTTGTATTATGGAACTGTAATCTTTGCCAGTACACTAGATCTTGTGACACCACCGTCCATTGTCATTGGCGAGCATCTGTTGGTAGATCTCACCGATCAAGACTTTTCACTAGAACATCAGGTACTCTCTCTTGTAGTCAATCGCTACTGAGTAGAACTCCATAGTCTTCGTTTTTCCTGCAACTGATATTGATTTTTGATTTTGATTACAGCTTGATTCCACACCGTATTTTCGCTACAAGTGTGGAATTTTCAGCATATGATATCGGTAGCCCAAATTTTGCAGGCCGATCATAGATATCGGGTGTGTGGTGTGATACAGAAAATGTATGCCAACGGAATATTATTCTCACATATTTCCACAGTTCAATTCGTCATCAGCTACAGAATGTAATATATCTATTTGAACATTCTATTCGATTTCAGAGACAGAATACATTTTCCACGCTTATATACTACATTAACAAAAGAATACTATGTAAATTTGAGCATTTCTATTTCGTGTCGTTTAATGTAAACCGAAATCACAAGATCAGCGACTGTTTAACGAATATAAAGTGCATATATAAACAGCGGTTTGATCAGTGAAAAATACACCTTGGCTCCTTTGTCCTGTCTTCTATTGTTACAATATTAGTTCAAAATCTCATTTAAAATCAATGAAATCCCAGAAAACCAACTATTGAATATGCATATATGTTTGTGACAAGTGCTGAGACAGCGTGAAGCTTTAGATCTCTGATTATGAAAGAAAGTATTATTCTTTCCATCCCACATCAGTCATACGCATGGATCCTTGGCATTAGTACATTTTATTTACTTCCATGAGATTTGTTTGACAAGTGGGTAACAAGATATCCACACAAACACACGCACACTACTTCTTTTCAATTACACTACAGGCAAACAATGTCACTTTGAGACATAGAAATGCTAAGCATACAATTTTTTATCCATCCAAATTTTGTTTTAATGATATGACATTACATTACCAACATCAGGTTCTGTGTATTATGGAATGGTGTATGTCACACTCTCGTTTGCACTCTTTTTTTTATTCAAAATAAAGCTGAAACTCTGTGAATGTCAGTCATCTGTGTAGATAGGTAGGTAGTTAGTTAGGTAGGTAGGTAAGTAGATATCAATAAGAATTGTTGATACTTTTTCTCTTGGTAATTTAACATCTGTTAAAAGCATTTTTGTTTTTCTCTGTACATATTACTTGAAAATGATACTTCGAATAGTAAATATTGTGAAAGGATTTCGTTTTAATACTGTTTTTTTTCTTTCACGTTTCCCAGTGGAATATAGGGCTTCAAACTAGTGGCTTGAAGTTTCTGTAACAGTGTTTATTTTACAGGATTGGGTTGCTAGCTCCATACCCAAACTTCCCTCTTTATCAGCATTATTTCTGGCTTAGCGAGGTAAAGAGTGCGTCGGCCGGTGATCAAACCCCGGACCATGTGCATGGTCGGTGAGCGTCCTAACCGCTATGCCACTGACGCGTTTTAATACTGTAATGTTATTATTTAACTAAATAAGTTGTTCTTTGAGTTCACCTGCTCGGGCCTTACAAAATCCATTCTTGGCTCTATTCCATCTCATCGTGTGGATACAAAACACGAGATTGACGATAAAGATGTTTACGAAGTCATCTACCGCATACCGACTAATCTTAACTTCACCTTAAGAGTTCGTCTACTACATAATATTCATGAGGCCGTTGGGATCCACATTAAGAAACCTAATTTATGTATCCAAAAGAAGCTGGTTAAGATATTGTCCTTACCCATCTGACCATCAAGGCTTTAATTATCTTATAAATCTACTTGTCTTTCGGTTGTTGAAAAATTCGCTGTTTACAACCTACCACCAAAGCTTTAAGAAATGAATGTTATGAAATGTAAAGTTGAAGCATCTAAATGCATGAATAGGTGATTAATTTTTGAGATAGTTCTCAGGTAGCATTCAACCACAAGTTACTGAACTATTATACTGAGTGTCAATTTGTTCACAGTATTATCGTCTATCAATACATCAAACTGCATTTGAGGTATAGTTGTAGTCAGTGTCAGATGGTTACAGGCAATCAGCAGGAAGCCTCGGACCAAGGTTTCATTCTAGTTGGCACCAAACGAATTAATAGACACACTATGCTAGTCACTGACTAACGTCTAATCAAAGTAACCAATGCAGTCCTGCACGCTGCCAATTATGAGCCCGAATAACTCAGTGATCATTTCTCTAACTGAAGCACTGGTGACAAGGGTATGAATCTCAAAAGGAAACATAACTTCCTTCAAGACATCAGATACGCACTGCTGACTGTTGAGTGCCAACTAGCATGAAATCTAGGCCAAAGGCTTCCTGCCGACTGTCTCCAACCATTTAATATCGAAAATCCACAGTGCACCCTGATGCCAAGCCACCCATGTTGGCCAAATTGCAAACTTGACTGATATAATTCAGCCTGCATCAAAGATAGGACTAGATACATTAAACTAGTTACTGACTAGTGTCTCAACAAATTATAATAGTCAGTAGACAGTATACTCTAAATTTAACACTTGTTATATTAGACAGACGGGTGCCAAGTCGTAATGAAAGTAGGATATTAAAATCCACTTATATCTCGCATTTCTCACATAGCCTCATAACGGCAGAGTACTATTATTTTCATTATTATTAACTAGGATACCAAGTGGAAAATAGGGTCTCAACAGAACATCTCCATTTCATCACGTTTTCTGTAGTCCCTTTAGCTGGCTGCAAGGCTGCCCATGATCTCTAATTCTCTGCTAACACGATTTCCTCCATGTTACCATCGGACGCACACTCAACTCATCGTTTCCCATTCAGGTTGCATTGAAGCACCTGTCTGGTGGGCAACATCAATGAACGCTTTCTCTGGTGTGTATTCAGTCTGCCTCAATTTCCTTCCTTATATTCGTTGGAAAATAAGTCCCTGATTGGTTCGTTGAGACAGTTCTGTACTGCTTATTCATTCTGTCTGATCACCCGATTTTCAGTATCGAGCCAGAGAAAGCAGCTGAAGTAGCGTGTTCTAAATGCTTTTTCGTTATTCGTCAAGTCTGTATACCATATAGAAGCTCTGACGAACGTGACATTAGTGGCATAAATCCAGATCTCATTCCTTATGCTGCAGATTTCCACAATGACTTCAGAGTAATGTTAGTCTGTCTAGATTTTTTGATCCTGCCTTTCACATACTCATACGTGGCGCTTAGAGTTGAAATGATACTGACCAGTTGAGGTAACCGAAAGGGGTGACTACCTTCAAATTTCTACCGTTGGCTAGAAATTTTCATTATGCTTTTCTTCTCTGTATTCACCTGAAACTCAATCTTCTGCCGACATTTTGCTTTCCACATGCAGATCTTCAAGTTTGTGTTTCATTATACATAAATCGTCCAAAAAGTCTAAATATGCTAGAGTTCTCTTGTTAATCCAGAGTATCTCTCACTGGAAAGTAAATCGTGTAAAACAATTAAGTTCAGCGGCAGTACAAAAAAATGTTTCCATTCGTCTCAGCAAGTTTGATGGACAAAATTAGTAACTTGTTCAATCCCTTTACCGTCGAACTGTTCTTGTTTCTTTTCCAATCACGGAATGCACACCTTGCTGCAATCATCTTCTTAATTCCTATAATCCAATGTGTATATTCCGTAGTTTGAGGGAAAATCTGAGGCCTGATGTAGAATTCTCAATAAAGCAGGAATTAGGGTGGCATTCAAACCTACAAACTCACTCAGAGACAAGTTCTGTAGGCTAAAAGACTCGGTGGACCCAACTAAACAAAATAATATAATTTACTTTGCAATGACTGTGAATTAAGTCAACTATATAGGTCAAACTAGTAGATCAGGAGTAGCGAGATTATCAGAACATAAGAATTTAGCTAAGGTTAGAATGATTCATCCCACCTGTGAGGACAAGTAATTTTAAAAAAGGCTCAGTAATTGCACTGCATGAATTAAAACACAGTTACACAATAGGGTGGGAGAGTGTTAAAATTCTAAGTAGTACTCTGGGTAGGTGGAGAGAGAGACTGATTACTGAATCCTGCCGGGTTCATCGAGTCTACACCCAACATAACACATGCAACAGAAATGACTCAATGCTAATAGCAGAGATATGAAAGATATTGTTACCACCAGTCAAATCAGAGGACGATAATAAATAATGTTAAAATGTATTCGATTCACATTATGACATTCTAACAAGTTACTTATTTTCACCGTAAAAAACATCTTATTTCCGATCTCACTGTATTTGACTGATGACACTAATACGATTTCCAAATGTACTTTATCTTATTGTATTCAAATGTCTAGTCAATTTTAAACATGTATATAAATGAAGGAAGAAAGTTGTGTGAGTGACTTGATATAATTATGAGTGGTAATAGTTTGTGCTGGAAACGACATCAGTTAATATTACTATACAACAGTGTGTGTGATTTATCAAAATAAAATCTTATCTACAATGAAGTTATACTCTACCACAGTGCCTACGTTTTATACTTATATCGAGAAAGAAAGTGTTTGCAAGCACTCGAAACTACTTGAACCGTGATATCCTGATTTTGTATGAAGCTCCTCCCTCTGCCAGTAAGAACAAAAACCGAAGAACAACGCTGGAATGTTATTATGGATTCCTATATTATTGTTGTTTACCACTATCTGAAGTGGATTTTTTTTATTTTAGAATAAATAAGCTGGTTTCTTTCCATCGTAAACAGACATCAAATAAACAAAACAGTAGGTAATATTCATTACAATAATAATAATAATAATAACCACAAAATATTTGATAAAAGTTTATCATTCATAGATTGACTTCACTTCATTTAAAAACAAAAAACTCCGATGAATGACGTCGAAAATTTTTACCTTCTTTCAGTCTTGATAATGAGATATATCTTCTTTTTCCTTTGTAAATGATTGACTTCTTAAACCTCCTACTACAGTAAATATGCTAATACAAAACAAGCATCTGGTGA